TACTAGTACTACTACTACTACTACTACTACTACGACTGCTACTACTAGTACTACTACTACTACTACTACTACTACTACCACTGCCACCAGCATAACAACTAGCAATGCTAGGCTTGTGTACCTTACTATCCAACTTGTAATCATTGTAATCGGGTTTGCCAACGCCAGGTTGAGACAGATGTCTTGCATTTACGCTCACTAGATTTGTCATGCAAGCTCTTGTGTTACAGTTCGTTTGTGCCCTAAAACCCTGAACCCTAAACTCGATTCCGTACTGTCTCAGGCTGGCGGCTAGCATGGGATCCTCGTGGTCCCCTTTTCCGAAATGGGTCCCTCTGGAAAACGAAAGGCACATGTACTGGAAGTCTTCACCCATATGAGTGTAGTGCAAATGCCTCCGGTCTGCTGCCCGATGTCAAGCTTCTATGTCACGGCTATCCCAGCGAGACTGGTTTGGATGCACGTCGTGTGTTCTGGGGTCTTTATACTTGCAGTCGCCCAGGGACTCTTGGTTGAACTTCCCACCTTGGGGCGACAGCAAGTGTTGAAGAAGTGTCCTTCACGAATTCCAGCAGGCCCGCTTTCTCTGGAGTTCCAGCCTCATCAAAACAGAGCGTGGTTCACTTCGAGTGCTCTTGGGGGGGGCGGCGGTTATCGCTAAGGGTCGATAGGAGCCTTCAAACACGTCTTTGTAATAGCTCACTTGAATGCAACTCCAGTGGAGACGGAACCAGCTTTACTAGGCGTATTTGCCGAGACCTTGGCCGAATGGCAAAACACACGGTTAGGGTTTAGGGTTTAGGGTTTAGGGTTTAGGGTTTAGGGTTTAGGGTTTAGGGTTTAGGGTTTAGGGCTTTCTACAACCACTTGATTCAGGTTTCCCTCTGAATCGAGTTCACAACTCTGCGAAGACAAAAGACTTGTACCCTTGAGGACATAGGCTTGTTTTGGGGGTTCTACACCAATACTGCAAGCAACCCCTTCGAAGGTCCTGACTGCGGTCTGTAGTGCAAGGTCCCCAAAAGTTCATTTGTGAGTGGAAGTTCTTGTTTAGAGACCGTTAAAGGGGGGCTTAACAGGTACCACAACTCCAAAGTGCCCCCTGGTTTATGTTAGGGGTTGCCGACGTGTAGACTCAGACCCGGGCATGTGGCCTTCGATCGAGGAGGGCAGGCTTGGACTCTTTGCCCTGAGGGGTGATGACTAACTGGTGACAAGAGTAACAGCAAACAAGCTCAATCATAGCAAGCAGAACTAGCAATGTTGCCCGCTCCTTGCAGCATGCGCAACACAACAGTATCGATAGCTATGGTAACGGGAATGGGGTTTAGGGTTTAGGGTAATGGTCTGTCTATCATCATAGACACATGCAAGCATCGCAGCCATGATGCTGACGCTGGTGCTCGGCAGCGTTGAACATCACTAACATTCAAAGGAGCCAACGCAACTTGCAGTCGCAAATACCGTGACGACTCATGACAACTAAAGATACTAGAAGACTTGCTGCACCGAGGTAGCCACGGTTGCTGTTTATGGTGGCCCAAAAAGCCTAAGAGTCCATAGCAATCGTAGCGCTCGTGCAAACGGCAGAAGTACTCGCCGCAGCAGCAGCAGCAGAAGCGGCGGCAATAGTAGCATCTGTCTTAGTCCGGTTGCTGCTCTTGTTGTTCTTCTTCTTGCTCTTGTTGACCTTGCTGTTGTCTTTGTCTCGTCGTCGGGGTGGTGGTGCTAGTAGCGGTGGTAGTAAGAAGCACCAGTTACAACAGCAGTCATAGTAATTAGCTGGAGTGGCAGGCGTGGCAGGCAGCACAAATAGCCGTCGTGGTCGTTGTCGCAGTTGTGGCGGTCTGTGGGCCCTGCCACCGCTGTCTTCGGAAACCACGGCAATTCGAAAACGTTGGCCAAAAGACAGTACGCAGACTTCATGTTCACCTTTCGCTGTGGTCTCAGACACCCACAATTCAGTTCTCAATGCGTTATTCCAAGCGCCAATCTCAGAAATGCCAGCAAACTCGCGGCTATCGGGGTAGTAGAAACAAGCACATCTTACGCAACAGTTGTGCCTCAAACTGGATATGCCCATTATTCCGAGTCAGCACTATGTCGCTGTCGAAGGCCCCAGAACCACTAGCCCGCCAGTAAAGTCCTTCGCTGCTCCGCTGGCCGCAACAAAGCTTTCCTCGTTTTTGTCCACGGAATCGCACCTGCCGGCTTGCAGATCACGCAGCTAAGTTATGCAAGGGCTCAGATTCGGCTACTGCTGCTACCACTGCTACTACTATTCCTACTATTCCTACTGCTACTACCACTACTACCACTACTACCACTACTACCACTACTACTACTACTACTACTACTACTACTACTACTACTACCACTACTACTATTCCTACTGCAACAACAACAGCAACAACAACAACAACAACAACAACAACAACTACTACTACTACTACTACTACTACTACTACTACTCCTACTGCTGCTACTGCTACTACTACTACTACTACTACTACTACTGCTGCTGCCGGTGCTGCTGC